TCGGTCCATTGAAGCAACCACGACCCATAGACGGCAGCCTGATCATGCTCTTTTTCCTACCGCATTCGTGGTGCTAGCAACATTGGCCCGCACGTTTTGACTTACTTGGCCGTGCTTCTATAACCACTGTTAGAGGATTGATGTTAGCTAGTCACGTGAAAGGAACAATATGGAGCAAATCGGATGATTAATATTGGAACTACTTACAAAGTTTGCGGATTTGGAATGGCTGAATTGAAGCTGCATAAGATGAAATTACGAAAGAGAAAATCAATAACAAAGCGATCAACCAGAATTTTATCTTCATTTTGTTCTATCTTTGTGTTGGTGTTTGTAGGTTAAAAAGTTCTACGTATGTATATGTGTATTTATACAAATTCAAAGTTAAAACGTAAGGCTTATATATAAAATGAGGCAACGTGTGGACCTGAAGAAGAGTCTTCGACGTAGACAAACATGTTAACCTTTTACAACTTGTGAACATACTCCATTAAATCCCATAAGTTCGTAAGTTCTAACAAAGAAAGAGTTTTCAAAGTCAAGAGTGTTTGTATACCTACATAAAAGAGTTTACGCCTTGATGCTAACAACATTGGCCCGCGGGACTTGACTTACTAGGCCGTGATTTTATCCTCACTGTTACATAAATTGACGTTAGTCTAACAAAAAGTAAAATTTGGAGCAAATCGGATGATAAAATATCGGCAATACTTACAAAGTTTGCGAGTTCGGTATGGCTGAGTTGAAGCTCCATATGATGAAATCACCAAAGAGAGAACCAAAAACAACGCAAATAACCAAAAGTTCCTCTTCATTTTCTTCTATCTTTATGTTGGTGTTTGTAGGTTAAAAAATTTCTACGTATGTATATGTGTATTTATACCAATTAAAATCAGAACATGAGGTTTAGAAGAGGCAACGTGTGGGATATCATAGACTGACCTGAAGAAAAGTCTTCGACGTAGACAAACATTTTTAATCTTTTACAACTTGTGAACATATTTTTTAACAAAAAAAACAAAAATTGTGAACATATTGGTGTCATTTACTAATAATGGGATTTTACTCAATTACATCACATAACGTCGTAAATATTCCAACAACAAAAAAATGATTCAAAGTCAAGAGTTTGAATACCAACGGCGGAAATAAAGATTAATTGACATATTCTATATCCTGGCCGAAATAAATAATAATCTTATATATAAACTCTTCCACGTCTACGCGGGTGTAATTTATTTATATATTTTTTTTTCAATTTTACACTATGAAAATGTGAAATGTG